AACAATGTTCAGCATGATCATTTTGGTGGTGGGTCAGTGATGGTCTGGGAAGGTATACCTATGGAGGGATGCACAGACCTCTACATGCTAGACAATGGCACCTTGACAGCCATTAGGTATTGGGATGAAATCCTTGGACCCATTGTCAGAACCTATGCCGGTGCAGTGGGTCCTGTGTTCCTCCTGGTGCATGACAATGCCTAGCCTCATGTGGTGAGAGTATGCAGGCAGTTCCTTGAGGATGAAGGAATTGATACCATGGAATGGCCCCCTTGCTTGCCTGAACTAAATCCAATAGAACACCTCTGGGATATCATGTTTTGGTCCATCCAATGCCACCAGGTTGCACCTCAGACTATCCAGGAGCTCAGTGATGCCCTTGTTCAGATCTGGGAGGAAATACCCCAGGACACCATCTGTTGTCTTATTAGGAGAGCATGCACCAATGTTGTCAGGCATACATACAAGCACAAGGTGCGATACAAACTACTGAGTACCATTTTGAGTTGCTGCAATGAAATTTCAGCAAAATCGACTAACCTGCTGCATAACTTTTTCACTTTGATTTTCAGGGTGTCTTTGAATTCATTCCTCTGTTGGTTGATCATTTTCATTTCCATCAAATGATGGGGCATCCTTATTTTCCTTATGTTCCACAATACCCAGTCCATATCTGTATAGATATCCAGCATGATATTTTTCCTCATTGAGATGATGTGTTTTTAAAGTGTTCCTTTAATTTTTTTGAGCAGTATATATATATACAGTGGGGATCGAAAGTTTGGGCACCCCAGCTAAAAATTTGTATTAATGTGCATAAAGAAGCCAAGGAAAGATGGAAAAATCTCCAAAAGGCATCAAATTACAGATTAGACATTCTTATAATATGTCAACAAAAGTTAGATTTTATTTCCATCATTTACACTTTCAAAGTAACAGAAAACAAAAAAATGGCGTCTGCAAAAGTTTGGGCACCCTGCAGAGTTAATATCTTGTACTGCCCCCTTTGGCAAGTATCACAGCTTGTAAACGCTTTTTGTAGCCAGCCAAGAGTCTTTCAATTCTTGTTTGAGGTATCTTTGCCCATTCTTCCTTACAAAAGTCTTCCAGTTCTTTGAGATTTCTGGGCTGTCTGTCACGCACTGCTCTTTTAAGGTCTAGCCATAGATTTTCAATTATGTTGAGGTCAGGAGATTGTGAAGGCCATGGCAAAACCTTCAGTTTACACCTCTTGATGTAATCCCCCGTGGATTTCGAGGTGTGTTTAGGATCATTATCCATTTGTAGAAGCCATCCTCTCTTTAACTTCAGCTTTTTCACAGATGGCATCAAGTTGCCATCCAAAATTTGCTGAAATTTTATTGAATCCATTTTTCGTTCTACTCGTGAGATGTTCCCTGTGCCACTGGCTGAAACACAACCCCAAAGCATGATTGATCCAACCCCATGCTTAACAGTTGGACAGAGGTTCTTTTCATTAAATTCTGTGCCCCTTCTTCTCCAAACGTACCTTTGCTCATTCCGGCCAAAAAGTTCAATTTTAACCTCATCGGTCCACAGAACTTGTTTCCAAAATGCATCAGGCTTGTCTATATGTTCATTTGCAAAGTTCACACGATGATTTTTGTGGTGAGGACGTAGAAGAGGTTTTCTTCTGATGACTCTTCCATGAAGACCATATTTGTACAAGTATCTCTTTATAGTGGAATAGTGTACCACAACTCCAGTGTCTGCCAGATCTTTCTGGAGGGATCGTGCAGTCAAATGTGGGTTTTGAATTGTTTTTCTCACAATCCTGTGAGCTGTTCTGTCTGATATTTTTCTTGGTCTTCCAGATCTTGCTTTAACTTCCACTGTTCCTGATGACTGCAATTTCTTAATTACATTCCAAACAGAGGATATTGACATCTGAAAACGCTTTGCTATCTTCTTATAGCCTTCTCCAGCTTTGTGAGCGTCAACTATTTTCAGTTTCAGTTTTCTAGACAACTGCTTAGAAGAACCCATGGTGCTGATTGTTGGGGCAAGGTCAGATGAGTCTGGGCATTTAAAACCTTTGAGATTGACATCACCTGGTCTTCCCAGACGATGATTGAGAACAATCCATGACACTGGCAGGTCTCAGCTTGGCAAAGGGGGCAGTGCATGCTATAAATTCTGCAGGGTGCCCAAACTTTTGCAGACGCCATTTTTTTGTTTTCTGTTATTTTGAAAGTGTAAATGATGGAATAATAAAATCTAACTTTTGTTGACATATTATAAGAATGTCTAATCTGTAATTTGATGCCTTTTGGAGATTTTTTCCATCCTTCCTTGGCTTCTTTATGCACATTAATACAAATTTTTAACTGGGGTGCCCAAACTTTCGATCCCCACTGTATATATATATATATATATATATATATATTGTACATTCACCTCAGTCTCTGCCCTCAAGGTGCTTACAATCTAAGATCCTATCTCACATTCATAGATACACATGCTAAGGCTAATTTAGACAGGAGCCAAATAATCAGCGTGTCTTTGGTGTGTGGAAAGAAACCAGAGTACCCACAGGAAACCCATACAAGCCAAGGAGAACATGCAGAAGTGCTAACCATTAATCTACTGTACTGTCCTTATATAAATATTTAAAATGGGGGGGGGGGGTGAGAGTTAATTTTTTTGGTCTTACCATAATCAAAAAAGAATATGCTATACATACAAAGCTCTAATACATGTCATTGAATTAAAAATCTGCTACTATTATCCTGAATAGCCGCAATATGATTGGATACATTTCTGCAAGACAAAATTGAATTGGTTGCCAGCACACAGCTTTGGTCAGAACAGCATGTGTTGAATATAGTAACTTGGCAGCACTATCAGCCATTCTTTTATTATCCTATTGCTCTCTTTGCTAGAATGAAGATGAAAATGATCACATTTGAGGCTCAATATGGTGAATTCCTTATGCATTTCCAAGCACTAGGTTATCATATTTATTTTACCATAAACAAATTATTACGGTAAATTACCATTTTCAAATAGAAAAAATGCATCCGATATTACGCTAGACCTCTGAGTCCTTCTATAATTCCCAGCAGAGAACATTCAGGTCACTATTGGCTCATTTACCTAAACAAATATAGTGCATATATTGTGTAAGCTACTATCTAACAAATGTACTAAACTGAGCTACAATTTTAGCATTAATATGTTTTGTGCATTTCTATATAAAGGCTATTTATTATTTAAGGGCATTATCATAGACTAAATAAAAGATGCTGTAGCCCAAAGCATCTATCATCATTAATTAACATTATACTTATATTTTACAAATGTTTTACTATTGGGAAAAAAACTTGCATGACTAGGCAAACTGGTATGTACATAAAAGAAAACTACAAGGTCAAACTGGTGGATAAGTCAACTAGTAGCTTGGGAAATGGTGTATGTTCATCTGAAATCTACCTACTGTTTAAAAAATTACAACTATGCCAAGCTAATCAATGTTGTCTGTCCATTAAAATTATGCAGATATGTTACCAGCTGGTCCCAACATTTTAATTGAATTTATAGACAATCTGGCTCATGCACAAACTCTTTTCTTGCTCCTCTTGCCATAAACAACAGTTCATGCACTTTACCTATTGTAGATGTATGAGGTTCAGCACAGTCTTGCATCAGCCAAAAACCAGTGGGGGGAAAGGGGAAATTCAATTGAAGAGACAGGGGGTTCATGTTACTATAACTCCATAGCGTAAATGGCATAAATGGCTTGTAGATCAGACACTGCTGTAAAGGATCTATAAACTGTCATGAATATGAATAAATCCTTGAAGGATACTTTATTCACCTGCATTTGTACAGTTCTTTATATTGAAAATTTTAATCCTACATGAGGCAGACTTGTTGTATAGTATTTTTATAACATAAAAAAAATAATAAAGCTGAATACTAGAATTTGTGGTATATTCGAAACTAGCTGGAGAGAAATGCAAATCCGGTGGTAGGTCAAACAGTAACATAGAGAGAGAATGTGTTTTAGCTTTTTGCCTAGAGTAGCAGTTTATCTTTTTACAAATGCATAACTTCATTAATTGGTGTTTGTATTCCTCGAGTTCAGGTTTAAATATCACATCAGAGCATTAATCAAATCAATTGATTTCCCAGTGTATAGTAATTTGTCTTTATTACAGAAATGCTTTTAAAAAAAGGAATGTTACATTTATTAGCTAATTTTTAAGACAGAGGAAAAATCAAATTGTAGTAGGTCTTTACTTATACGGAGTGATTTTTCTCATTCCAGGCTATGCTGTGGCTCATTGTTTCTTGTCTTTAATCAATCAACCCCATTTCAAACTAAGTAACTCATCTCTCCTGACAGTATAATTTGTAGCACCGAGCTTCACATATAATGGATGACACTGCATTGCATCAGGCTCCATTTTTCACTTTTTCTCTCCCATACCTTTACAGATATTATACAGTAATTAAGTTGTATAGGACAATTGAATCATGTATAAAGCATTTTTGAATGTATATTTATCAGCTGGATATTTGGTTCTATACAATAACTATGAATTATATTAAACATATATATTTCTCTTTCATTAAAGGAAAAGTGCAGCCAAAGCTCTTTTGGCTGTACTTCTGCTGTGGATCACAGGAGTGCAGTGCATTCTGCACTTCTTTGACCCCATTAACCTCCCTAGCGGTATGATTATGTCAATATTTCTGTGCTCAAAGCAGTACATTTTATTGCATGGAAATATATTGTTTTTTTAATGTAGGCCTGTAATTTTTAGGAATAACTCACTGAAATCTATCCAAACAAGAGTCTAGTAAACACCCCGGGTATGTTCAAATTTGAAACACGAAATCATAAATTATAATATAATAAATAATCAAAAAAAAAAATAATAATATAATAATTATAAATTTTATTCAATAATGTAATCAAACCAAAATCGTTTTCAGTGTCTGATGACGAATTTCCCCACAAATCATTATCACTCAATTCTGCAAGTGGTTCTAATTTGCTATCGCTGTTCTCTAGCTGGCCTAAAACTGCTTTTGACCTAAAGGGACGCTTTTTGGACGCCATGGACTTTTCTCAGTTTGCAGGCAGAAAGAACAGTATAAATGCAGGCAGGGCACAGGACAAAGCACTAGGGGCAAAATGTATGTGAAATGCTTTGATACAGTAATGTTTTATTATGTGATCTTAGTGTATTGAGTGAATGTCACTTTTAACATTTTTGAATTTCCCACTGGTTCCGTCCCCTGTACGTCCCGTACGTCCCGTACGTCCCGACGCTCACAGGGACCGGAACCCGGAAGACGGATGCCGGCATCTGCCGGAGGAGATGGCCAGGGACGCTGCAGGGGGGACATTGTGGGATCGCAGAACAAGGTAAGTGAAACAGGGATCCCAGAGCAACGCTGCAGGGTACTCCCAAATGTAGCTCGGGGTTACCGCTTTTGGTATTGAAAATTTACCCCGAGCTACACTCGGGATTACCGTCAGGGAGGTTAAGCTGACAGCGGACTAAAGCCCGCTGTCGGCTGCCATCACTCAGCTGGTCCAAGCTAGTAGCACCTGACTGAGCCTCTCTGCTCCCCCTCTCCACAGCCCAGCCCTCGAGTGAGTATGGGGGGGGGAGAGGGCAGAGCAGACAGCAGTGACTGACCATCACCAATGTCTGCTCATGTGATTGCACACTTCCAATCTGGACCAATGCTGTATCCACCTTGGTAAGTATAACTGTGTGAAAAAAGCCAATACTTCTTTTTTTAAGTCTATTTGAACCCAAAATTCAAATTTTAAAGAATCATTGCTCAATCACAAAGCCCAACTCCAGGCACATGTTTAAATTTCCTGAAAGCCTTAAAGCGGTATTAAACCCCAAACCAAAAATGTAATGTATTGAAGCTTACCAATCATTACACCGCGTTCCAAATTATTATGCAAATTCTATTTAAGTATCACAAAGATTAAATATTTTGTTTTTCAGTTTAACTCATGGATGGCATTGTTTGTCAGGGCTCTTTTGATCACTGAAAACAATCTCGGACACCTGTGATAATTAGATTGGCTGGTGAGCTCAATTTAAGGAAAAACTACTAAAGGAGGGAGTTCCACATTATTAGGCCACGTGAAATGACAGAGTGGGGTCAGCGCATGCTGAAGCGAACAGAAATCGACAACTGTCTGCTGAGTCAATAGCTAAAGATCTGCAAACTTCATGTGGCCTCAGATTACCACAACAGTGCATAGAGAGCTTCATGGAATGGGTTTCCATGGGCGAGCAGCTGAATCCAAGGCTTACATCACCAAGTGCAATGCAAAGCGTCAGATGCAGTGGTGTATAGCAAGCCGCCACTGGACTCTAAAGCAGTAGAGACGTGTTCTCAAATTATGCTTCTCTCTCTCTGGCAATTCAATGAACGTGTCTGGGTTTGACGGTTGCCAGGAGAACAGTACTTGCTTTTCTGCATTGTGCCAACACATTATGCTTCTCTCTCTTGCAATTCGATGGACGTGTCTGGCGGTTTCCAGGAGAACGGTACTTGCCAGGGGCGGACTGAAAACTCATGGGGCCCCCAGGCAATAGGGGATCATGGGGCCCCTGTGTCCTTGCCCACACTCAAAGCACACCCAAAAAAGCCTATAAAAAAGGTACCAGGGGCATTTCATGGGGCCCCCTACTGATCCCGGGCCCTCAGGCAAATGGTCAGTCCACCCCTGGTACTTGCTTTTCTGCATTGTGCCAAGTGTAAAGTTTGGTGGATGGGGGATAATGCCGTGGGGTTGTTTTTAAGGGGTTGAGCTTGACCCCTTAGTTCCAGTGAAGGGAGCTCTTAAGTCATCAGCATACCATCAATATTGAACTCTACGGACTAATACTGGGTTGCCATTAAAGTTCATGTGCGTGTAAAGGCAGGCGTCCCAATTCTTTTGGAAATATAGTATATATATAAATATATATATATATATATATATATATAATTGCTTAATGAAGTATTGAGTATTGCACATACATTTACACAATTATTTATTGTGCTAATATTTTTTTTTTTTATTGCACTTGTTGATTTGCATTTTATATTACTAGTGATATTTCAACAGCTGTTAGTGAATTTTTATTTATTTCAAAGCATAAAAGTGTATTAATTTGACCCAAGGGTGTACATAATGTGTAAAAATGTCATTTAACATAGAACTCTTGTTCAAAAGATTGCATTTTTCCTCTGGCTTGCCTAGGCATGCCGACTGCTTCTACAAACATTTGTGAAAGAATGGGTCACTCTCAAGAGCTCAGTGAATTCAAGCGTGGTACTGTGATAGGTTGCCACCCGTGCAACAAGTCCACCCATGAAATTTCCATGCTAATAATATTCCATGGTCAACTGTTTGTAGTATTATAACAAAGTGGAAGCAACTGGTGACAACAGCAACTCAGCCACAAAGCGGTATGCCACATAAAATGCCAGAGTGGGGTCAGCACATGCTGAAGCGAACAGAAATCGCCAACTGTCTGCTGAGTCAATAACTAAAGATCTGCAAACTTCATGTGGCCTTCAGATTACCACAACAACAGTGTGTAGAGAGCTTCATGGAATGGGGTTTCTATGGCCGAGCAGCTGCATCCAAGCTCTACATCACAAAGTGCAATGAAAGCATCGGATGCAGTAGTGTAAAGCACGCCAACACTGGAACAGTGGAGACATGTTCTCTGGAGTGACATATCACTCTTCTCTGTCTGGCAATCATATGGATGTGTCTGGGTTTGGCGCTTGCTAAGAGAATGGTACTTGCCTGACTACATTGTGCTAAGTATAAAGTTTGGTGGAGGGGGGAGTATGGTGTGGGACTGTTTTTCAGGGGTTGGGCTTGGCCCCTTAGTTCCAATAAAGGGAACTCTTAAGGCATCAGCATACCAAGAAATTTTGGACAATTTCATGCGCCCAACTTTGTGGGAAGACTTTGGGGATGGCCCCTTCCTGCTCCAACATGACTTTGCACCAGTGCACAAAGCAAGGTCCATAAAGACAGGAATGAGAGAGTTTGGGGTGGAGAAACTTGACTGGCCTGCAAAGAGTCCTGACCTCAACCCGATAGAACACCTTTGGGATGAATTCAAGCAGAGACTGTGAGCTAGGACTTCTCGTCCGACACCAATGCCTGACCTCATAAATATGCTCCTGAAAAAAATGGTCAAACATTCCCATAGACACACTCCTAAACCTTGTGGACAGCCTTTCCAGAAGAGTTGAAACTGTCAATACTGAACCTCACAGACTAAGACTGAGATGCCATTAAAGTGCATGTTCGTGTAAAGGTAGGTGTCCCAATACTTTTGGAAATATAGTGTAAATATAATTATTATTTATTTAAGGTACTTATATAGTGCCGTCAATTTACGCAGCGCTTTACATAAATATTGTACTTTCACATCAGTCCCTAACCCTCAAGGGGCATATAATCTAAGGTCCCTAACGCACATTCATATACAAGGGCCAATTTAGATAGGATCCAATTAACCTACCAGCATGTCTTTGGAGTGTGGGAGGAAACCGGAGTACCCACAGGAAACCCACGCAGGTACAGGGAGAACATGCAAACTCCAGGCAGGAGGTGCCGTGGCTGGGATTTGAACCAACGACCCTGGTACTGCCAGGCAGAAGTGCTAACCATTTAGCCACTGTGCTGCCCATATATACTGTGTATATATATATATATACACAATATCTGGATGATGTAATATTGTAGATTTATGTATTCTAGATATCCATCACTCTACTCATTCTACACCCCGAAGAAGAGTTGCATTGAAATGCATTGAGTCATCCACCTGGCTGTTATTACTCGTTGCAGATGATCTGTTGTTAGTATTGGAGCCATGTGGACTATGGAGTGTTCAAATCAAAACAATTATATGAGTGTTTAGTAATGTCAGCCAGAGTTTTTTATGCAACCATCTGTCTATTGAATTTTTTTCAATTTTTAAAATTCAAGGATTTTATATGATATTGTTACTTTGTATGGAGAGTAGTTCACGCTTTAGAAAGTCTCCCCCCCCCCCCGCACACACACATTTCACTCTTGCTATCTTTTATGCATAAATGGGATAATGGCACACTATAGCAATGAATGATCATTCAACTTTGGTTTTCATAATGTGTAAATTATCTCTTGCTATGGGGGGGGGGGGGGGGGGGGGCATGAGCATGGCACTCTGTGGCCACATGAGTTAGGAGCTACTGATGCCCGCCGAGTAATACTACTCATTTGACCTCTCTTGTCCCATCTACTCCGGAGTGTGCCTGGTCTGGGGGCCTGGTGTGCCTGGTGAAGTCGAGGGTTCAGGTTTCTGGAAGGAGCCTGAGGATTGCTGTGCAGCGGGAGGTGGAGAGAGGCCCAACAGAAGAGTGGAGGACGCTGGGAAGACCCACGTGACCAATCAGGTGATTGCAGTTAGGAAGCCTGGGACCCTGGAAGACTGGAGCTGGAGACTGGAGGACAGAGCTGAGGAGAGCAAGCGCCAGAGCCGGGGGAAGAGAACTGTAGTGGCAGTCTTCACGTGGGGTGGCCCCCGAGCATTAGGAAATCCCCTGATACTCCTGAAGACAAACAGCCAGCAGCTGTCGCCCATCTTGGGACGCAGGGCACAAGAGTGGGTGAGTTGCCATGGGAGGCAGTAAATCCCCAATGCTGCAGTTGCGGATGTGATTGACGTTGCTGGGAGAAAGGTGGTTATAACAGAACCTTACTAGGGGTCTCAGAGGTTGAAGTGATGGTGTAAATTGAAAAAAGTATTATAGTAAGATCAAAAGATGAAAGGAGGGGGCACTCAGGAAGTGAAAGATGAAGAGTAGAAAGAGGGCAAGCCAGAGAACTGAAACCAGGGCCGCTGTTAGAAATCATGGAGCCCTGTACAGCCTACCTGACAGGGTCCCCTTTGACCCAACCCTTGACCCCCTGGCCCCGCCCTTGACCACACCCCTAGTCACTCCCCTGCCTCCATCTCTAAACAAAATGCAGCTTTGTCTTCAAGTGCATCAAGTTTAGAAGAGAAAGCAGTTACAAATACAGTTACAAATATAAGTGTAAATGAGGCCCAAGGCTACAGGGCTTTTTTCTAAGAAAATATGTGCAGAAAATATATTACACCCGCCATCAACATCATCAACAAACACCCCCAGTGTACTACATACAGAATGCAGAGTTCAGGAGTGCGGGACATACAAAGTGCAGGGTTCAGCAGTGCCCTATGTACAGAGTACAGAGTTGAGAAGTGTGTTACAGATGGAGTGCAGGGTTTGAGCAGTGCGCTGTGAACAGAGTGCAGAGTTGAGGAGTGTGCTACATACAAAGTGCAGAATTCAATGGTGTGCTATGTACAGATTGCTGGATCAAGGAGTGTGCAGCGTACAGAGTTCAGAGTTTGATAGTGCACTATATACAGAGTGAAGAGTTGAGAAGTGTGCTATGTACAGGATTGAGCGCAGAGTTCAGTAGTGCACTATGTACAGAGTGTGCAGTGTACAGAGTGGAGAGTTCAGGACTGCTCTGTGTACATTGAACTTGGTGTGCAGAGTGCAGAGTTCAGGAGTGCGCTGCATACACAGTGCAGGGTGCAGAACTGCGCTACGTACAAACTGCAGGGATCAGGATTGCACTACATACAGAGTGCAGGGTTCGGGAATGGTTACCTTCAGAGTGCAGGATTCAGGAGTGCACTATGTACAGAACACAAGGTTCAGGAGCTACATACACAGTGCAGAGTTCAGGAGTGCTTTACATTCAGAGTGCAGAATTCAGGAGTGAGCTACATTCAGAATGCAGGATTCGGGAGTGTGCTACGTACAGAATGCAGTGTTCAGGTGTGTGCTACATACAGAGTACAGGATTTAGCAATGTGCTACGTACAGTGTGCAGAGTTCCGGTGTGCGTTACGTACAGAGTGCATGATTCAAGAGTGCACTACGTACAGAGTGGAGAGTTTAGGTTCATGAGCAGGGGAGGACTGACAACTCATAGGGCCCCCGGGCAATATGGGATAATGGAGCCCCTGTGTCCTTGCCCAAACTCAAAAAAGCCTAGGAAAAAGGTACCAGGGGCATCTCATGGGGCCCCCTACTGACCCCGGGCCCTTGGGCTGTGCCCGAGTTTCCAAATGGTCAGTCCGCCCGTTCAGGAGTGCGCTACATACAGAGTACATTGTTCAGGAGTGTGTTACATGCAGAGTGCATGGTTTAAGGGTGTGCTACGTACAGAGTGCAGGGTTAAGAAGTGTGTTACATTAAGAATGTAGGGTTGAAGATTGCACATGTACAGAGTGCAAGTGTGCATGATGTGCATATTTCACAGCCATTTTACAATTCCCCCCCCCCTCCAGTACAGAGTTCTCCCCCAGATTTCTGCCCCTTCCCCTCCAGTACAGGGCTCTTCTCTCCTTCCTGCCCAGTACAGAGCACCCCTCTCCTCCTCTTCTAGACCTTTCCTCTCCTCTGTCTCAGTACACAGTACCCCTCTCCTCCACATAAAATACTATACTGCAACTTACAGTAGGAGATCAGGAACAGGCTTCTGATGATTCTGTGGGCATGCGCCTAGAGCTGTGTGCCCCGCTCAGTACAGTCCCATCCCGCCCCCTCATTCCACCTCGCTCCTCTGAAGTATATCCAGAGAAAGCTTGGAGTTGCTGTCACTTAGAAAAAAACAGAAGCCGCACTTCTGTGTTTATAAGTGACTGTACTGAGTGCCCATCAGTGCCGCCTATCAGTGCCGTATATCAGTGCCTATCATTGCTGCATATCAGTGCATCATCAGTGCCTCATCAATGTCCACCAATGCCGCCTCATCAGCACTATCTCACCAGTGCCACCTCATCAGTACAGCCTATTAGTGCCCATCAGTGCTACCTATCAGTGCCGCATCATCAGTGCCCATCAGTGCTGCCTATCAGTGCTGCCTATTAGTGCAGCCTAATCAACGCACATCAGTGAAGGAGAAAAATTACCTGTTTGCAAAACATTTTTTCAAATGTTTTGCTCTTTTTTTGTTTATAGTGCAAAAAATAAAAACCCCAGTGGTAATTAAATACCACCAAAAGAAAGCTCTATTTGTGTGAAAAAAATGATAAAAATTTCATAAGGGTACAGTGCTCCATGACTGCACAATTGTCACTCAAAGTGCAACATTAAGATTGTATCTATTAATGGTGTAAGTGATGTTAGCAGTACTGAAAAACTCCCAAATGTTTTCAAAATTGTGATTGGTCAATAAGGTATATTTGGAATGCTGGTACACCCCAAAGAAAAAAGAGACAACTACTAGCCATATCTCAACATATTACTATATAGAAACTTGTAAAAAAATAAAAAAAAACTCCCTATGGGTATTACATACCACCAACATAATGCTATATTTGTCCTAAAAAAGATAAAAAAAGGATTTTGGTAGAGTGTTGCACAAATTAATTGTCTGTCAAAGTATTATATTGTATTTTGTGGCTGCATTTATTGTTTACAAAATTACTTTTCTGTCATTGGTGTATCAATGTGCTGCTGGGTCTGGTTCAGGGTGGGCCAATCCTGGAAATATATGGAGAAGCCAACATTCCCAGCAGTTTCTTTGTGCATCAGTTGTTGATTCCCATGTTATGCAACCATAACCCACATACATACTAATAGTTGGTCAGTATCAGACCAGTCAATAGTTAGAGCATCATCATCTCTCTTATTCTTTGTTCTCCAAGGTCATTTAATATTTTGACTAACATATTATTTTAGATCCAAACAAGAAAGGTGTCATAGGTTTAAAATACGTTTCTAAATATATCTTATTAAATATTACTCTTTATTCAGCCATATATTTTGGTGTAGTGTGTTTTTACTTTGCATGAACACATTTCTGATTTTAATACAGCTACTTGTATTTGCAATGCAATGAGAAATATAAATATTTACTACGTGTCAAAATTAATATACAATTGCATTTAATTACAAGTCACTTTCCTATAGTAATTTATCATGCAGTAAATAATCTCATTAACATTTCACTGAGTGTGCCCTGTTAAAATGCATAGAGAAAAAATGAAGTTCCCTTGGGTCAAGGTTTTTATTACAGATTCCAAAGTAGCTCCTAAGAAAAACACATAGAAATGCTGCTTGCAACTTGCAAAGAGAAAGAATTGAAATTATGAGCTTGTCGGAAAATGTTTGGCAATTATTCAGCTTTGTGCCTGCTGGGAACAACTAGAAAGAGAAAGCAATGCATAGAAACATGTAAAGGCAGGCGACGATGAACTGCAACTTTAGACTGCAGAGTTACCAAATAGCTTCATTTACTCAGATCTTCTAGCATAAATAGAAGTTAAATTATTCAGCATTGTTCAAGATTTGTGAGATTTTGTCCGATTTTCTGGTAGTCAAGCAAGGAACTACATAAACCTTTCAACAGGGGTAATACGTTTTGTGAATATGCTCAACACAGTAGAAAAGTAATATTTGAAAGACCATAAAAACTGAATGTTTACTGGTAAACTTTGAAAAAACACTTTTTCATCGCATATTTTTTAAAAGGAGGAACATAAGATTTTTAAAACAGTTATAAAGGTATCAATATTAAATGATGACAATAGTTTTTGTAATAATTATTATGATATTAGTAGTACTAGAGGTCCTATTATTTTCTTTAGGTGCTCTTCTAAAATTATTGTCAGCCTTCCAGTCTTCTTGCTTAATTCATGAAGACAAACATTCAGAGTATTATACTAATCTAGATGAGTATTTTTCCTCTATTAAGTAAGCTAGGCCTCTGCATTGTATAGGGTTATCTACATAACTGAGCCTCTAATGGGTATTTTTTGAAAATGAACAGGCTACTGGTAATTTAACCTCTTCACGTCTAAGGGTAAAACAAATCTATATGCCTAAGCACAATTATGCAACTTTGACATGTGTTAGTAAAACCATACATATCATCACAACTATGTCGTGCATCCAGGTGGATTATGCCTTGTTTTTTTTTCAGGACAAATTGGGCTTTAACCTCCCTGGCGGTATTCCCGAGTGTAGCTCGGGGTAAGGTTTCAGTACCACAAGCGGTAACCCCGAGCTACACTCGGGAATACCATGCGGCGCTGCTCCACGATCCCTGTATCACTTACCTTGTCCTGCGCTCCCATGATGTCCCTCCTGCAGTGTCCCCGACAATGTAATCCGGCGGATGCCGGCATCTGTCATCTGGGTTCCGTCCCCTGTGAGCGTCGGGACGTACGGGGGACGGAACGGCGGGAAATTCAAAAATGACAAAAAGTGACATTCACTAAAATCACTAAAATCACATAGTATTCCATTACTATATCAAACCATTTCACATACATTTTGTCCCGAGTGCTTTGTCCTGTGATCTGCCTGCATTTTTACTGTTCTTATTGCCTGGAAACTGAGAAATGTCCATGGTGTCCAAAAAGCGTCACTTTAGGTCAAAAGCGGTTTTAGACCGGCTAGAGAACAGCGATAGTAAATCAGAACCACTTGCAGAATTGAGTGATAATGATTTGTGGGGAAATTCGTCATCAAACAGTGAAAACGATTTTGCGACTTTGCTCAGTGATGTGCGAACTTGGCGCTATATTTCAAATTTAAGTGTTTTTGGTTTGATTATATTATTACATTAAATTTATTATTATTATATTAATTTTTTTATGATTATTTATTAAATTATAATTTATGATTTCGTGTTTCAAATTTTATCATACCCGGGATGTTTACTACTAGACTCTTGTTCGGACAGATTTCAGTGAGTTATTCCTAAAAATTACAGCCCTACAATAAAAAAAAAACATATTTCCATGCAAAATAATGGTACCGCTTTCAGCACCAAAAATCTGAAATAATCATACCGCTAGGGAGGTTAATATAGTAAAAAATAGTAATTGTAAAAAAAATATATATTTCTTTAAAATTAGCTGAATATTTCTTCCTACTACCATAACGTACCACCAAAGAACAACTCAAAATAAATTCTCCTCCTGACGATCGCAGTGATACCACATACAGTATGTGTATGTTAGTTGTTGTTTGTACCCATAGTATGGCCCAGAAACAATAGTGAAAATTTTGTTTTGTTTTTATCCTGCCTAAAATACACTGGCACTGATACAAATTTAAAAATTAAAAAAAAATCTTGACCAAAAAAAAAATACTGTCCCTGACACTTGACCCCAGCCTTTGACCCTAACCTTGACCCAAACACTAAACCTGGCACTGACCTAGATCAAACCTTGATCTAGGTAATTTGTTTCATTTATACATATATATATATACTGTATATCTATCTATATATATATATATATATATATATATGTGTGTGTGTGTATATGTATATATATATATATATTTCAAAATGTGTATGTATATATATATATATATATATATATAAATGTGTATGTATATATATATATATATATATATATATATATACACACAGTATATATATATTTTTTTTTTACACACACTCCTTTTTTTCTCTCTGAAAGAACAGAGAGAGATACAATGTATCTCTCTCCTCCATTCAGAGAGAGAAAACACAGGGTGAGCTTCACTATGACTGGTCACTGTGATAGCCAATCAGAGCCTTTCACAGCGATCAGGTGTTTTGGGAGTTCCAGGTCCTGATCATTACCAAGGGACCCTGGGCTCTTGGTGAGACCCCGGTCTCTGTGCTGGGAGTGCGCTGTGCGGCACACTCCCATTGCAAAGTCAGGTACGGATATGTGGCCCCATGGAAAAAAGCCAGTGGGGCCGCATATTTGCAAATGGTCGGCATGAAGGGGTAAATATATGACTAAACATAACCATTAAAGGCTCTTGTGTGGCATGGATAATGTGAATTGCAGTTTTATATCTTTATAAAGCATTGAAAAACATTAAAATAATGATCATAAGAAAAACAAAATTATTTGGGTATATCATTTACGTATGTTTCAAATCTTTATCTTCTTGGTAGAGATGAATGTAAATGCTTCTTGCCTGACCAGTCAGCAGGCTTATACTTTACTGAAGGAGGACAGTAAAGTTTGGTTACAATTGGTTCCTTTTTCCCTGTAACTGCTTCTGTTTTTATGGGTCTATCCCTGGGAAAGAGACATCCCTGGTATGCCCCTGGCAATCCCAGTGCAGCATCATTCATATACCCTAGCTGCGCTGTCACAACCCTGTCAATAAAGTTAGATGAAATGTAAAAAAAGCTTTGCCTTAAGCCCACCTCCATCATTAGGATTAGATGATGCTGTTCACAAAGCAGATGTTTATTTTCAAGAGTAAAAGGGAAGAGGCTGTGCTAGAGATTCCAATGGGGCTGCCTAGATTGCTGTGCTTGGCTGGACTGCAGGTATACTGGACTGGTGAAATGGACTACATGAGTATGGCAGTGGCAGGTTGTATTCTACCACAGGACCCAGTAGCTGCACAGACATAGGTGGTTAAATAGGAGAGCTCTAGCTAAAGGAGATCTGCTAGCTGCTGATAAGGGATTGAGGAATGAGAAATCTTTAAGGATGCAGGGTAAATGAGGGATCCTGTAGGATGCAGTGCACATGGTGGATTTTGGAGGATGCAGGGTGTATGGGAGGATCGTGGAGGATGCAGGATGTATGAGGGATTTTGCAGCATGCAGGGTGTACGGTGGGGGATCCTGGAGGATGCAGAATGTATAAGAGGTTCCTGAAACATGCTAATCATGTTAGATTATGGAGGGTGCAGGCTTCATAGGGGATTCCGAAGTGTGTAGGGGTATTCTGGTGGATGCAAGGTGGATGGGGGTATTCTAGTGGATGCAAGTTGTATGTGAAGGACATAATTTAAAAAAAATGGAGGTGGCCATTGCATCTACCTACAGAAATGCTTTGGGTTAAAATCACTGAAAAGTACTGTAATTGCTGTGACTGGGGCCATTTTACTCCCACATTATAAGCCATAACACAATGAAGTGATGCCCACTTACGGTAATTGGCTACTCCAGGTTTTCAGAGACATCTTTCTACTTAATACCTTTAGGGCATCCCTTTGAACTATTAGTACATATCTTAATGCCTTTTTTTATTATTAAAGGATTAATGTAGCACCAACGGTTTGCGCAGTGCTTTACAATGTGAGCAGGGGCGGACTGACAACTCATGGGGCCCCCGGGGCAATAGGGGATCTTGGGGCCCCTGTGTCCTCGCCCACACTCAAAAAAGCCTATGAAAAAGGTACCAGGGGCATCTCATAGGGCCCCCTAATGACCCCAGGCCCTCGGGCAGTGCCCGAGTTTCCAAATGGTCAGTCCACCCCTGAATGTGAGGGAAGACAGTACATTTACAATACAATTCAATACAGGAGGAACCAGGAGGAATCAGATGGCTCTGCTTGTTAATATTTTAATTTATTTTGTCTTAATACTTGGAAAGTCCACATCTTGTTCATGAAATCTTGATTGTTGTAACAAATTGTCTGAAAGCACACAAAATTGGGGTATACATTTCTAGGTGTGGGTCCAAATGGGGATGTGGTTTTGTGGGTGTATTGAAAGTGGGCATGGTCAGTAGAATTTCCCTGATTTAATTTTGAAAAATCTTTGAAACTCTCATAAACTTAGGGTAGAGTTACATCAATGGATATGCAAAGAGACAATTACTATTTACAGTTGCTTCAATGGGTAAACAAACGGTACTAGATAGGGTATTGCTGAAAAAAATGTAGAAGCTGACAGCTTATGCTTAATGGTAACTGTATTGACTTTCATTGCAGGGGTGATGCGCTCTCCCACCAGGCATCTATCCCCCTAGATCCTTAAAATGTAACGCTTTATTCAGTCAACTCATAAAATAAATAATAGTTTAACTGACAATAGGAAGTAGTCCCTGTATATTAGAACAACATTTAACTACAGCATAGTGCAGAGGAGTATCATGTCAAATTGAAATTGATTTTAGAGAAGGATCACCAAGACTGTCTTGTCTGTCTTGTCATTGTTGCAGATAGACTAGAATGTCTGAGGTGATACTTCTTTTTTCACTGTAGTAGATTTTCTTAAGGTCAAAAATTGTTGCATTTGCCAATAAATTAATAAGTTTTAAAAGAAAATGCTCATCCCCAAAAGAACAAAACCCCCCACCAAACCCAACAGTCCTAAAAGGCTTCATCGGGTGACATAGTACAAAAAAGTGTCTGTGCCCTATAGAGGTTACAAGTGCAAAATGGTGGCCACAATGTTTGGGAACTGCATATAAAGCAGAACACTTTGGCAGCTTTATGACACCATGATATCCCCACACACACCTGTGCATGCATCAGCGTAGTTTTCATATTGTGCGTGTATAATTATGTCACTGTGCATGTCTGCTTACAAACGTCATAATCAAAGTTCTTGCAAAAAGGTCCCTACATATTCCAACCAGCAGGGGAAGAAAGTCCTGCAGCTCAAAACGAGGAAAATGCAATCTTTTGAACATTTTTGGTATTACAAGTGTTCTATGTTAAATGACATTTTAGTTTGGTCAACAATAATATAGTACACCAACTCGCCTACAACCTAAAATTCCTGTGTAACCAATATAATATACACATTATGTACATATGTACACCCTTTGGTCAAATGAATACACTTTTATGCTTTGAAGTAAATACAAATTCACCAGCAGCTGTTTAAATATCACTAGTAATATAAAATGCAAACCAGCAAGTGCAATAAAAAAAATAATAATAGCACAATAATTGTGTAAATGTATGTGCAATACGCAACACTACATTAAGAAATTTTATATATATATATATATATATATATATATATATATATATATACTATATTGCCAAAAGAATTGGGACACCTGCCTTTACACGCACATGAACTTTAATGGCAACTCAGTCTTAGTCCGTAGGGTTCAATATTGATGGTATGCTGACGATTTAAGAGCTCCCTTCATTGGAACTAAGGGGCCAAGCTCAGCCCCTTAAAAACAACCCCACACCATAATCCCCCCTCCACCAAACTTTATACTTGGCACAATGCAGAAAAGCAAGTAGTACTAGGAGTGGACTGACCATTTGAGTACTCGGGTACTGCCCAAGATCCCGGGGTCTGTAGGGGGCCCCATGAAATGCCCCTGGTACCTTTTTTATAGGCTTTTTTTGGGTGTGCTTTGAGTGTGGGCAAGGACACAGGGGCCCCATGATCCCCTATTGCCCAGGGGCCCCATGAATTTTCAGTCCGCCCCTGGCAAGTACCGTTCTCCTGGAAACCGCCAAACCCAGACACGTCCATCGAATTGCCAGAGAGAGAAGCATAATGTGTGACTTCAGAGAACATGTCTCTACTGCTTTAGAGTCCAGTGGCAGCTTG